CTGTAAAAACTGGCGGAAAGTTTTGATTGTTTGTCCACTTCTGAACTGTAGCAACTGCGTGTTGCGTACGCATCCGTTTTACAGATCTGAGTTATTAGAAAGAAATACTGACATCCTAATAAACCTGAACATCACGGAAGATTGGCTAGTAAAAAGCGTCTTGTCTCGGAAAGTGAAATATGTTGACCATATCAAGAGCGTCGGCTCTGTGGCTAAGTCGATGCGAACGCTTCGTAATGCCGGGATGCCAGGTTCGATCCCAGCTGCGGGCCATGCGCCTTGCGTTGGTTTCGACAGTGGTATAAAGAAAGCCCACCGTCCAGGAAGCAATGGCAAACTACTGGAGGTAAATTTGCCTAGAAAAACCACGCGACAGCCGGGGGCTGTCGGGATTGGTTCTGCAACGTCCTGTAAAGGATACGTAACTAACCTCATATCAAGAGCCACGGCTGATTAGAAAGAATAGTAGCAGAAGGAAGGGTGTCCGCGAGGAGGGGCTGCGGCCGACGAGCACCAAGATGGGAACAGATTGTAAGTGACACCTTGCGTAGAACAGTGCACGAGTCAGGAGAGCTGGCCAGGGTTTTTTCTGGCAGGTTGTGATAACAGCGATTCGATTGCAAAGAAAATTGGGGGTAGTCGAAGAAGAGGAGGGCAAAAGAAGAATCTGGAATGACAACATCAAGAAATGGACAAAACTAATTTATCATACACTTATTCATCAAGCAGAAGACAGAGAAAGATGGCGGGTTTTATGTGTTAGTGCTTCCATCAATACACCTCCACGAAATTAATGGGTCAAGGGTTATGTTATGTTGTGTATATGATGAGAGCGACGTTCTGCAAAGGACCTGCTACATTTTGATGATCAGGAGGCTGGAAAGTCGTGCAGAACAGTCTCTATAGTAAAGTATTCCTGTTGTATTGTGGGTTGAAAAAGACTTTTGTCAAAATGCTACTTTGTTGAATGAATATTTTCTTTTCGTTGAATTTCCTAGTTAGCTTTTGTATACATTTAATTATTTCAAATTCTGGAATCTGACTGTCCATCCACAGGGCGGGTTCTCCATCTCTGACGAAATGTGCGTGAACTACATTCACTACTACCCAAAGTCGGAGCTGGAAGTCTGCAAGAGCTCGGTTCAAACCCACGAGCTTGACACTTTCATGTTTCTGTTGAATAGGTGGGTTTCCTTAGAGCGCTTTTCCCATGTGGGTTTCGGTGGGTGAACGTGCCGTCATAAAGCAAACATGGGGGGTGGGGGGCCTCTCAGCGCTTCCCCTGCACCAATAATTTTGTAAGAAGGTTAAGAGACCCCCCTATACCAGTGATTCTCAACCTTTCTAATGTCGCGACCCTTTAATACAGTTCTTCATGTGTGGCGACCCCTGGACATACAATTATTTTCGTCACTAATTTATAACTGCAATGAATATGTGTTTTGCGATGGTTTAAGCGACCACTGTGAAAGGGTCGTTCGACCATAGGTTTGAGATCATCTGCCCTATAACAATGTCTATAAGTTTTCTTTAATAACAGTTGCTTATAGATTTCCCATTTTTTCAAGTATACTGTTATATTCACTTGCCCTTTAACACAATAATGATAATATTAATAACTAGCTGTACCCGACCACGCGTTGCTGTGGCTTAGAAACAAAAGCAGAGAAAGCGCCCGGACTGTGTGATTCTCCGCCTCTGATGATGATAATAAAAGTAATTATAGTAATAAATGTGATGAATGGCAAATGAATATAATAATATACTTTGAATAAAATAAAATGTATGAGCAAATACTTCAATAGATAATTTGAATACATGGGTAAATTGGGCATCTAAGTCCCTTAAACAATTATTGACTAAGGGGGAGGGCCTTAAAGTGTTTGTTTTTTCGGGGGGAGGGAGGGGGGGCACCCAAGGGTACAAGCTCCCATCCCACATAATTATTTGCTCAGAAAATTTGCTAGGTGGTGAGGAGGTCGTGGTTTGAGGGTCCCCCAAAGTTTTCTTAGTACTGAGGGAGGGGTGGGGTGTTCGGTGCTCCACCTATTGTTTGCCTGGGCAGTGAGGAGGCTATAGTCGAAGTTGTGATTGAGCGCCCCCCCCCCAATTGTTTAGAGGCTCGAGAGACCTGAACCTGAACAACTGTACATGTGTTCCCTCATCACTCCTGGCAGTCTTGCTTTTACCAACCGTATCTTTTTATTTCTAGCCAGGAAACAAATTATGTGATAACACATACATACTCTAACACAAAGCACTGGCTTACTGTTATTCTAAGTTAAGACAGATGCAGACACGGCAGTATCATTACAGTAGACTGTTATTGCTGTTAACTCTGTCACGTGAAGTTGTTGGGTTGATGCTGAAAATAAGCCGCCATCAGAAATTTGACACTTTGGAGCTCTCAGGTGGCAGAAAAGTAGATAATATAAGAGTGAAAAACATATTTTGCAAAGAAATATTCCCAACAACTTTTTGGTGTCCTACCACAAAACATTTACTAACAGATTGCTCCAAAATGTAAAATCAAACATCTAGATTACCTTCTCTGCATCTAGAGTGTCTATTCATGTGTAATATAATTGTCTCGGACTCAAAAGAGCTTTTATTGTGGGAGGGGGTGCTAAAGAGATTCCAGTCGTCCACTGGCGAGCCAATGGTGCATGTTGTAAAAGTAGACTGATTAAGGATCTACTAGAGTCGCGTTTGTTGGTCCGAAAGACATCTAGCTGTAAACCATAAAATATTGTGCTAACTTTCCTTTCTTCTTCTTCTTTTTCTCCTCTTCTTCCTCCTTCTTCTTCATGAGAGCTGGACTTAACTCTTCACGATAGATAGTAATGTGGTCATCATTATCATAGAACTGGTTCTTTTGCAGAACGTCGCTCTCACCACAGCTCGCCTGAAAGAAACGCAGTCTCTGGCCAGATCTCCCGCTTCGTGCACCTTCTACCCATGTTGTCACTTACTTCCTGTGCTCATCTTGGTCAGCCCCTGCCTTCTTCCTGGTACCATGCCTTATGCTACTATTCTTTACAATCTGCACTGGTGCTTGAAATGGCCAAAATATTTAGGTTTTCGAGATATGATACTGTTTACTATCCATGGCCAAAATATTTAGGTTTTCGAGATAAGATACTGTTTACTATCCATGGCCAAAATATTTAGGTTTTCGAGATAAGATCCTGTTTACTAGGCATGGCCAAAATATTTAGGTTTCCGAGATACGATACTGTTTACTAGGCATGGCCAAAATATTTAGGTTTCCGAGATACGATACTGTTTACTAGGCATGGCCAAAATATTTTTGGTTTCCGAGATAAGTTACTGTTTACTAGGCATGGCCAAAATATTTTGGTTTCCGAGATAAGTTACTGTTTACTAGGCATGGCCAAAATATTTAGGTTTCCGAGATACGATACTGTTTACTAGGCATGGCCAAAATATTTTTGGTTTCCGAGATAAGTTACTGTTTACTAGGCATGGCCAAAATATTTTGGTTTCCGAGATAAGTTACTGTTTACTAGGCATGGCCAAAATATTTAGGTTTCCGAGATAAGTTACTGTTTACTAGGCATGGCCAAAATATTGTTGGTTTCCGAGATACGATACTGTTTACTAGGCATGGCCAAAATATTTTTGGTTTCCGAGATAAGTTACTGTTTACTAGGCATGGCCAAAATATTTTGGTTTCCGAGATAAGTTACTGTTTACTAGGCATGGCCAAAATATTTAGGTTTCCGAGATACGATACTGTTTACTAGGCATGGCCAAAATATTTTAGGTTTCCGAGATAAGATACTAATTACTAGGCAGGCCAAAATATTTTAGGTTTCCGAGATAAGATACTGTTTACTAGGCAGGCCAAAAATATTTAGGTTTCCGAGATACGATACTGTTTACTAGGCAGGCCAAAATATTTTAGGTTTCCGAGATACGATACTGTTTACTAGGCATGGCCAAAATATTTTGGTTTCCGAGGTACGATACTGTTTACTAGGCATGGCCAAAATATTTTGGTTTCCGAGATACGATACTGTTTACTAGGCGATCTTTCTTGATGTGGGGGAATTTTAGGATGTCAGTATTTTTTTTTTAGGAGCGGGTGGCCGAACGATTAGAACGCTGTGCTCTCAAGCGGGAGACCCAGGTTCGAATCCTTGGTAAAGCTGGGGATCTTTTTTCTGTCGGGGGCAAAATAAAATCCCTACCTGCACAGTCGTGGCAACAGCACTAGCCATGCGGCTGTAAATACTCAAGCTCAAAGACGCCAAACCCCCCCCCCCCCCCCCCCGCGTCTACACCGGAAAAGTTGTATAACAACGGCAGTAATTGGGGTTTTTTTTTTTTTTTTTTTTTTTTTTTTTTTTTTTTTGACATTTTTTTTTTCTACTTAGTGTTATGGTCAATGTGGAAATAATCTTTGACTTTTTATTTACAATTATATTTCAGACTAGAAGGTGCCCATGTCTATCATGAAGCGGGATATCGTGCGAACTACAAGAACATCGACTGGTCACCAACCAACGTCCATCTTCTCAAGACGCTTTATGACACCTCTTTGCTGTCGATGCAGTGCAACAAGTCAGACGGTACTCGTTTCCCTGGCGACTGGGAGCATATTAGACCCTCACAGATCACAGAACCTTTTAACAGCCAACACCCTGACACAATATGCTAAATGTTGCCATAAACCAGTACATACCGGAACATAGATACATCTTTATGTTAGAGGTACCGACACAAAGAAAACGAGTGGGGGGGGGGGCGAGGATCTCAACCCATTTACAAAATTTATAGGGGTGGGAAGGGAGCTCCGTGGGCTTCTTGTAGCATTTTTAATTAGTTACATGTCCAAAACAGGACTTTGCAGAATCAGCCCCAGCCTTCGTTTGGCTGTTGCGGTTTTTCTAAGCAAATTTACATTCAATAGTTTGCCAGTCCCCGAAAAACAAACCTGACGAAAAGACTCCTGAGCCATCAACAGTTTATCTGCCTCTTGCACTTGAATGCCAATGAAGTGTTTTGTGTTCAGAACTAATTTCCACTATGACAGCTTTCCTCCCCCGTGGGGGTTCCGGGGACCTATTATAGGGAAAACAAGAATAGACCCACTGTCTACCCAAAAGCATGTCGTAAGAGTCGACTAATTTGGAAGCTTCCTTCGAAGTCGGAGTGCATCTGCCTAAGAGGCAAGGAACCAACAGTCTGCACACAGATGCGTCAGATCTGTCAAACTGATGCACGCACAACACTCAGGTTCTGGAATAGGACTACTGCAGTCCAGAAGTGGACGAACAACCAGAACTTTCCACCAGAATTTACAGCTGGTGAACGCAAAGAAGGAGAAGACAGCTTTCCTGTAATTTCAGTGATTCAATGAAGTGACACCACAGTAGAAGACGTCACCAAGCTTTGTCAGTTAGAACAAGGCTGGAGGAGGGGGATAAGGGAATCGCATTGTTTCAAACTAGGATTGATTCTTTTATGAGCGCCAATCAATAATTTTTACCCTCTTCGAGGTCAGGCTAGCAGACACTGTAACCAACTTCTAATAGGAAACATCTCTAGAAGTACCATGGAATGGCTGCTGCGTCAGAAGAGTTGAGTACGCATAAGAATTCACAGTGTGCATTGAAGTCGATTGAGATAATATAATATAATTTTTGAATTTACAGTATTATCAAGAAATTGCAAAGTGTTCCTCGGTGTTTGATGTTTCTGTTGTTACCAACAAGATTTTCCAGCTGAAGAATAAAAATGTTAATTAATCCAGCTGCGTCCAGATGTCCTTTTTTTCTTTAATAATTGTGTTTTGCTATTGTGAACCCCTCACAATAGCAAAACACAACTCTTTGACAAGGAAGTTTACACATTCTGTAGCTACTGTTTTTCTAACTGGCTTTAAAAGCATGTGCAGTGCGGACAAGAGTAGGCTGATCTGTGCTCGCCATCCCACGCGATTGCCAGTATTATGGCTCAGGTCAGTGCCCTTGTCTTCTTGTCCCACCTATATGACTAATCAATCCATTTTGTATGTACCTCTTTACCTTCTCTTTGCTCTCTTTCCATCAATCTTACCAGTCGTTACCAAATTCTCGAGTCTAATCTATCTTTCTCATATCATGTCCTAAAAACTATACAAGCACCGAAAGGGTATTGCCAGTTTGTATGTTGTCTGCATGTCATAAAGTTATTCAATTTCAACGAAAATTACACAGACCACAGCTCTCCAAGTACAACTTCAATTGATTACAAGTGAAAAAAAATATATTTAGTTATGTACATGTACTACTCATTTAGCAAAACGTAGTGGGCAAATGAGGCATCAATTTAGAAAAGCCAAGTATGCTATAGCGTACATTGTTTTTGCTCTCTTTTATGTCTTCTAATCTTTATTTTTGTCACCAATTTCTATAAGTACTCATCACTACCTGTGAATGTATATCTCAAAAGTAATTGTTTACCTATTACTTTCATGGGAACAAATTTGTCGTGGGTTCCTGGGGCCCAGTTTGGGATAGGAATTTACTTCCTGGCCCTTTACGCGCATATGGTAAAAGGCGAGTAATTAGGGTTTTACTTCAATCTGATGTGTGGGTTTAAAGGTAGAGATATCGCATCCTAACTGTAAACCACAACATAACGTGCCAAATGCTATCAATCGGGCGAACGCAGAAGAATAATTTGAATAAAGGTTGTGTTTAGTCTGCCGTGTATAAAAGTCTGACCAATGTGTTTTCCCGTCTGCTACAAAATCAAAATGCGAGAGCAATCTTCTTGATTAAGGGAGAAAGTCAACGAAATGTTTCAGTGGCCTTCTTATATTACCCTGCTTGTGTAACTGATTCGTTCAACGTGTTTCATTTAATATTAAGAATGCACAGAAGGTAAGGAGTAAAAATAGAATCTCTAGAGCAGGCGATATACCATACATTAGGAAAGTTTGGGTCCATGGACGACCAATTCTGTAACTGTAACTCATACATAACAATACATTAAGTTAACCGAGTTAAGTTCAGGTGGTGGTATCAATATCAACTAATAAAAGTGTTGTAAAGCTGCATTTTCAACAACAACAAAAAAAGAGTATTTTTGACAATCTTTCTTTGTCAGTTGAGACGAGAAAGAGAATTTTTTAAAGCTGTATAGTATAAATTCTATCTTGATATATGGAAATATACCATAGGCAGTTGGTAAATTGGTGAAAACTTATTATTTGGAAGCTGCGGAGATGTGGTTTTATAGACGAATGATGAGAATACCCTAAACAGATAAAAAGAATAATGAAGTTGTCTTGAAAGAAACTGACTCATGAAGAGAACTGCTGCCCACAGAAAGACACAATCTTCATTCTTTGATATGTGATGAGAAGGAGAAAAACTGGAGTATACAAAGAGCCTACCTAATGCTGGGGTGCCAGGTTCGATCCCAACTGCAGACGGTTTGTCTTGCAATGTCTTCGACAGGGGTACCGAGAGCTGACCATCAGAAAGCAATGTCCAACCACAGGACGTAAAATTTGCCTAATAAACCCACAACAGCCAAAAATGCAGGGGCTAGTTCTGCAACGTCCTGCAAAGGGTACGCAACTAACTTATAAGTAAAGTAAAGTTCCCTTTTCACTCGTTTCGGCGCATCGGGCATATGGGCAAAACGTCCCATATTTTTACAGACCATCAGCACTCTGTGGGTAATGTGGTCAGCATTACGCCGGCTGTCTTTACTTTCCAAGGACAGCCTATCCTGGTGCCCATTTTAGGCTGGGTCGACCTGCGACGTCCCATACCACGACAAAAATCCACGCAGCCTGCAGTGGGTTTCGATTGCGGTATGCTGGCTTACGAGCCGGACTCGCAACGCCTTAGCCACGGACGCCACAACTAACTTATACAAAGAGCTTATGTCTCTGGACTATCTAAGATGCGTGCATGCGTGTTTTCTTATTAACCCTACCAGACCTGAGGCCCTGAACCTAACTTTCCCTATAACCTGAGCTCCTGGGCATTACCTCGAAAAAAACCAACATGATATACACAAATATTAGTTACATGCAAACAAATGGCTAGAATATGATGAAACTTGGAGACATTGTAGAAAATAAGCTTACCTTTTATCTAGCGCCAATATTCCACCTTTGTGTGCGAATCTTCTCATCAGGATCAACTTTGTTTCACAAAGTGAACACCAGATGTTGCCGTTTGAGGGACACACCCCCTTCTCCTACTTTCAAGATTTATAATTTTCAAGATTTTCCTTATCATTCGCGCTCTCACTGACAGTCACTTCAAGAACGTATTCTTTATGACATTATCACTCCGCAGAGTCTGAATAAACCAAGGTATCGATCACCTGTTGGACTGTGAAATGCCTAGAACTTGGTTCATCAGCTGCTCGTTTCTTTGTGAATTTTCAGAATTTTCCCATGTAAAACAACACAAATATAATCCAAACACATGCGGGCAGACATTTGCAATGTCTAACAAAGAGGATTGATAATGATTGGGTGGTTATTTTTAGTCCGAGGCGCATCTTTTCCCTGTAATAAGCAAAAAGCCGAAAATTAGGGCCAAAAATTAGGCCAACGGTATAGCGTCGGGTTATGAAATTCCTGGAAAACCGGGCCATCGGTCTGGTAGAGTTAAATCAAAAATGTAGGTGACAGAACCTGTTTTAGGGTTTTTTTAAAAATAGACCCACTGTCTCCCACCCCCACCTCCTACCCTCCGCTAACATGTCATAAAAGTCAACTAGTTGGGAGTGTTTCCATTTAAGTCGGAGTGTATCTGCCTGAGAGAGAGGAACCAACAGTAAAAAAAATAAAAATCTGCATGCATGTAAACCAGACCTGTAAAATGGATGCGCATGAAAAACTGTAACTAGACAAGTCCATAAGAGAGCTTACCACTGCAATTTACCGCCAGTTAAGGATAGGTTAATCCTCCAAATTGAATTTGATTAAATCTGTTGGAAACAATGCTTTCTGTAGGTACATACTAGTTAAAGATTAAAGAAAAATTTATTTTGGGGTCTAAAATCAACATATTTTCACGGATATTGACAGAAAATGTCATACTTTCTGCAGAAAATAGTCAAATTTGTACTCAACATTTGCTAATTTATTTCAAAAACTAATAAAGATGGCTTAGTGATAATTTGCACTTATATTTAGCATTATATTTCAAACTGATTATGCTAAAAACTATTTACTTAAAGCAATGGTTTAAAGGTTATGTTAATTTAGGTGGTACAATAAAAAAAAAATTTTTTTAAATTAGGGGTAAGGGTTACCATATTTGACAAAAATGCAAATCTTTTATTAGTCACAGTATTTTAATTTATAAATATTTGAATTATTGGTGCTTTTTTTAATATCCTACCCCAGATGACGTCACAGGGCAGTCTTACATTTTAGAGGGGGGTTAGACTAGGTTTCCAGGCTTTCTAATGCTTTTAACGACCCCAAAACAAATCGAACTGGCCCTAACCCCAACCCACCTACGTCCCACCAGAGAGTGCAGCCAGGTCCCACGACTGCATGCAGCCTATCTACCACCCCCTGAAATATTAGACTCTCCTGTTGACCTGTGGATTTTCCCTGTTTGGGATAAGATATTTATAACGCACCGAATTATTTCTTCTTCTTTGTGTTCACTGCCTGTAAATTCTGTTGGAAAGTTCTGTTTGTTAATCAGCTTTTTGACTTTAGTCTTTTTCAAGATCTTGAGTTTTGCATGCACATGCATTTTACAGATCTGCCTTACTTGTGTGCAGACTGTTGGTTCCTTGCTTCTTAGGCAGATGCATTCTGACTTTGAAAGAAACATCCCCTAATTAGTCACCTTTTACGACATACTTGTTGGAGGAGTTGTGGGTCTATTCTGTGTTCCCTAAAATAGGGCCTCTGAACCTACATGGGGAATAAGAATCGGAAAGAAGCAGAAACCATTTTGCAAGATTGGTATGCAGTCTGTTATTTTGTTCTCTTCTCCAGCTCTAACAGTAAGACAAGCTTGAAGTTCAAGTCTCCAGTGACAAAACAGTTCAAGTCACCTTTGAGTAGAAATGTAAGTCATGTCAGTTAGTCGTTACTGAACTGAACATCAATCAGTATTGCTGTATGGAGAGGAAACAAGAAGAACAACTAAACCAATTACTAATAAATATAAACATTCATTAACTGGCGCCTGCACGGAATGGATGGAATTAAAAGGTATGATAGAATCACTAATGTAGAGCTTTGGGAGAGAACTTAACAAATGCAAGTGAATCGAGAGATGAAGAAGGGAAGTGGCACTAGATCTGACACATGCTGAGAAAACCTGAGAACAATATAACTAGAATGTCTTTGCACTGGAACTCACAAGGGCATAGAAATAAGGGAGCTAGATAATGAAGTTAAAAAGATTAGGAGGATGTGACGTGATCTGCTTGTAGCATTAAAAGGATAGGATGACTTGGCCATGAGTTGATTGAGGGTCTGTGCTTCACTGAGTGGTAGACATGCTTTCCCCTCTACATTCAGAAAAGAGGCAGTCTTACTCTTAGTCAGGGTTTCAACTTCACTGCAATCAGGTCACCCCATACTTGCTCCGTTCCTGTGCCAGTGAAAATCAAATGATATGTCCCTCACTGTCCTATTTTGGAAAAAAAAAAAAAAACTGGTGAACAAACAATCCCTGCACAGTCCAAAAATATGCGCATGCAGTAAATGCATATGGCAGTTGCTAGAGGCGCCAATGCCAACAGTCGGCACCAGAAAATGCAGTTTATTGTTGATAGAAGTAATCGGACATGATTAAGTTAGCTATTATTACATAAGGTATTTCACCAGCCCCCATGTAAACCGGTTACCAGCCATATTAAATAGAACAACCCAACGCTACACAAAATACAAGAGAAACCACTTCTGGCTAGTTGGCATTCCAGTGGGAACCAAGCTGTACAGAGCAGTGCAGGACTTCTTCTTCTTCTCTTCCACCTTGTACCTCCTCTTCTTCTTCTCTTCCACCTTGTACCTCATCGAAGTGTCGTGGGAGATGTAACATTCGTTGATGAGCTCTGTCAAGAGCATGTTCTTAATGCCATCACTCCCTACTTTCTGAGGTCTTCCACTCGCTCTATTCCCGTTGTAACATTTTAGAGTGGCTCGCTGTGTCTGATAGTACCGGGGCATTCTTGTTAGGTGTCCAAAGGACTTCATTTGTTGTTCTTTGATGACTTGTAAGACTGGCTTTATTCCTAGCATTTGTGTGATTTCGTGATTTCATATTCCGTCTTTCCTTGAAACTCCTGCAGCTCTTCTAAGGCATTTCATCTCTGTTGTCACAATTTTACATTCATAGGAGGATGTAAGTGTCCACATTCAGGACTTGCGTCTCGATAAATGAAATAGGTTAAAGATGCCAGACTATTCCATCCATGATCGAAATCCCCCCATAGCCTCTCTCGCAATGTGGATCCCCTGGGCCAGATCCACAGTCTTTGCCTGGAGAGGTACTTGATAAAACAAGATAAAGGAAGCAACTGTGAACCACATGTGACAGGTAAAGAGTATAGTAGAATAGTTGTGGTTGAGTAAGCACAACAAATCATTAGTTCATATCTTCTTCACGTTCACCGGCTGTACACTCTAGCAGAAGGTTCTGGACGTTCACCTACCTCTTGACTTTAGTCTTGTTCCAGAACCTGACTGTTGCATGCACATGTGTTTCACAGATCTGTCTTATGTGTATGCAGACTGTTGGTGCCTCGCCACTCAGGCAGATATACTCCAGCTTTGAAGGACGCTCCCAATTAATTGACACCTACAACATGCTTGTCGGGCAGGAAGTGGATCTGTTCTTGATTTCTCCATAGTAGGAACTCACACAGGGAATTCGTTTATTTTTGGTTTCAGAATGCTGTGTCTTCCAATGAGTCTTACGCTGACATGCAGGCACAGGTAACTGCACTGAAGAAAACCTTACAGGAAACTGATGCAGAAATACACAGCTTAGAAACTGCGTAAGTTAGCATTTTTATTTTATTTTTTATTTATGCAAACTAAACATATTCTCTGACAAAAGTGATCTCTTCCCTGTAGCATGCTGAAAAAGGATAAGACAGGATTGCTTTGAGCAGAGTGGCAAGCTTCACTTGCAAGGTAGTAAGCATACTTTGGATCTTTTCTCTAGGCCATGCCAGTCTTTTGGGTAATGAACAGGCAGATATATTGGCTGGATCTGCACCACTGGGTGGTGAATTGAACATGACAAGGCAGATGTGGTCAGAGCCTTCTGGGAATAAGCAACAAAGTCAGAAGAGAAACTAGATTATTATGGGCTGGAAAGAATTATGCACCTGGGTGTGACCAGAGGGTTCGGCCGGCACACTATGCTCAGAAGAAAGGCTAGACGGAGATAGAACCAGACTAAGACCGGCACCATTGGTAGTGGAACTCGGTGCTGACGGCTGAGGTTGGGTACAGAGTGTGTATGGAAATGCCCCGCGTGCTGTGATGTCAGCTCTTGACTTAACTCAACTCAACTTTCTTTGTGTGGGTTCCGAGACGGTAAAAAATAGACCCACTTCCCTTAAACGTGAAAGGTGATAATTAGGGGTTTACTGAAATTAAATGTGTTGGGCTGAAAGGCACAGATATCACAGCCTAGCTGTAAAGCACAACACAAAGTCTCAACCATGCTTTTAAGGACAGACGGGCAAAAATGAATATGTGGTGATAAGGATCTGCAAGGATTGGTCCTCCTGTTTACTAAGAAAATATTTAATTACGGTGCAGACCTGATAAGGAGAACTCCCCAGGCACCCAAAAAATGGTTCTTCTTATCAGAAATTGGGAGCTGTCATTGTGTGGTGGCTAGATGCTTGCCTGTGGATCTGATGGTGATAGGTTCTATTCTGGACGGTCCTGGACTTTTCTTTCAAAAATGATCTTCGCTCTGAGGTCGACACCATCATTATCATCAATTTCCATTTCTACCATTAACTCTTTGAGTCCCAGGGGGTTAAGCATCAGAGGCCCAAGGGGTGGTAATGCAATTTTGTAATTTCACAAGTGTAACACATTAAAACAGACCATACTAATTCAATTGCCACGCAACAAACAACTTATTATAGCAAATAATTGAGTTAGTAATTAAATATTAGTAAATAAACAGACGGTTTGTTTAAAAAAATTAGTCAAATGAAATTTAAAAAATTTTTACCTACCACCATGGCACTCAAGGAAAACTGGTTAAAATATATCACAAATGAGTATGAACCACTTAGTAATTGTAATAAAAATATAAACTCAGTCTATACATTAGATTTTGTTCCAGAGAATCTTTTGAAGCATCATACCAGAGCACCATTGTTTGGTAAAGAAAACTGACTCCCAAAACAATAAGTATCTTCACTCAAAACTAAGTTTATATAACACTTAATTGGCCTGTAATTTTGTAGCTATGTTCCTAAATAATAAGGGAAATAGCACTAGAACTAACTGACACTGAAGAAAATCATCTTTTCACTAATGTTTATTCTATTTGTGCCAGCTGACTTTGCTATCATTGTACCCTTAGCGTGAGGTACACATTAGACATATCCCTCATCAAAGTTTGACTATAAAAGACTGAAACACGTCTAATTCGCAACGTTATCTTTTTACCTTCGGAAAAATCTAAAAAACATGTACTTTATTTAAATTTGAGGCTTTTAAAGCCGTAAATCATGTTGGCATACATGTAGAATACTGCTTGGCAGTGATATTCTTTTTAAATAAACACGTTTCTAAATGAGCACACCTGATATCAGACGCTAAGAACTCAAAAGGAAGTTGAAATTGAGCGGTCAGCATATTATTACTGGTCAGTGGTAGATTTAAAACCTTCACTTGTCGCACGTCAATTGGGCCATCCGGTTGTAACAAATTAGCGCGTGATGCGTTCCCTGGGACTCAAAAAGTTCAGCATTGTGGAAACAGTTTGCAATCCATCACTTGATGGGCAGCAATGGCTGTTGTCATTCCATGTCGATGTAGAACTCTTTAATGTCATCATTCCATCTTCTCCAAGGGCAGTCTCTTGCTTTCACTTCAGATCTCTTTATGTGTAGCCTCTGCTTTAGTAGTTGTTCTGGATGCATTCTTACTAAATGACCAAACCATTCGATCTTCTGTTTCTCAGTGATTTGCTGCATGGTGTTGTTCTTACAGTCTGAATGATAATATCATTTCTAATATAAAAACCATACTGAAGGGGAAGGTTGGAGGCAAGTGAGCATATAAAGACAGATAGTGATACATATGGGAGGATAATATCAAGAGATGGAAGAACAGCAGTCTGAGAGACTGTACCTCCAGGAGAACACAGCGACGTGGGAGGCTGCTGCACAAGACCGTTTATGATGGCGTACATCCCTCAGGCATGGTGCATCAGCCTGCCAGGCAGGGGAGGTTGCACAGGCAGAGAAACGGAGGCAGACTGGAAAGAATCATAGTGCTAATCGAACACTTACTGCAGCATCCATCTGTTGTCCACGCTGCTCAATAACTATCATGCTCAAATTGGACTAATCAGCCACCTTCATACTCATAATCTTTGATCATTACTACTTTGGATGAGAAGTGGTCTTCATTACTCGTTATGGACGAACAACATCTCCAGGAGAACAGAAAGAATGGGCTGGAGGTCCATAGCTGCCAACCTTCATTGTGGAGATGGCACCTGACTGATAGATTCTTATTTGTCTAGGGGCTACAGGGAGACGGAGCTGCAGTCTCACATCGAGAAACTGCATGAATACAATGAGATCAAAGATGTAGGACAGATGGTGCTGGGCAGAATAGGTAACTGTGTTGTTTATTCATATTCTCCTCTGTTTACAACTAGTGGGCGGGGTGACGGCTTTGAAACTGAGGATTTGGTGAGTGCTGTCGCCACAGACTGTGCAGGTTAGGCTTTTTTTTTGCCCTCCACAGAAAAAATCCACAGTCGCTGTTCGTCGCATTTACCAGCTGTAAATTATGGCATAGTGTTCTGGTTGATCGTCTACTTCTGGTCTTTGGCCTTTCTCCAGAACTGGAGATTTATTTGCAGATCTGGCTTATTTGTATGCAGACAGTTGGTTCCTCACCTCCCAGGCAGAGGCACTCTTAACTTCAGAGGAAAGCTCCTAATTAGCCTCCTCCTGTGGCTTACTTGTTGGGAAGAGAGGGGGGGGGGGGGGGGATGGGGGGGGGGGGGTCAGATCCCCCCCAAGAATGAGACCCCGAAACCTACACAGGGAGATTTTTTCATTTATGTTATCTTCCAACTTTTGTAAAAATACATTTACCGCTTATGGGGACAGTTTAGAACAGTGTACAATTAAAGGACCCTTTTCCGTGTCTTCAGGCACATTGGGAATAGTGCTCAGCCACTACACCCTGGCAGCATGGGCCCCATACCAATCTGTGTATGTTCAGTGACTTGAGATAAAAGTATATTTGTTAAAATTAATTCTGTGTTCCTCCCCACAAGTTTTTTTCTTCAAAACGTCAGTTAAAATAACTGTATGAAAACGTTATACTTGTCAGTGGTTGTTGTAGGGGCCCCAGCACACTGGTTTTCTCAGGGGCCCATAATGCTGTTAAGACTTCCCAGCATGGCAGCCCCAATTTTTATTACTCTTGAGTTAAAGATGAATTTTTATTTATGACTAATTCCGGTCAAATATGCTACATTTATTTATTTCATTATTTTACTACAGTCTGGTCCACTTAAGTCGAACTCAGATAAGTCGAATTTTAGTTAAGTCGACATGGCCAGCTTAGTCCCGGCAATTTTCTATATTGTGTGTGCTGTCTGGATTAGTCTAGAAATCCGGCTCTCCTGTCAACTAGGGCCGGTAGACAACATGTGACGGCCAGTTAGTCAAGTTCTGTCCCTTGGCTGCAGTGCAATTACGGACTGGAGACAGCACGAATCAAATAACATAATTACTGTTTGTTGGCGATAGACAGCGTGCAGTGACCTGCTGTCATCATACGGTTTGGGTTAGGGTTAGGGTTTAGTGTTAGGGTTTGGGTTAGCGTTATGGTTAGTGTCGTTGCATCTCGTCTTCACAGAAACTCAACGTCGCAACCCAAACCCTAAACCTAACCCAGACCCTACCCCTAACCCAAACCGTATGATGACAGTAGGGCACTGCACGCTGTCTATCGCCAACACACAGTAATTATGTCACTTGTTTCCTTCCCTCTAATCCACTCTGTAATGCGTCGCAAGAAGAGGTAATTGAACACGGTCGCTTATTTTAGTCGCGCAGCGCAGGTTCTGCCAGGCATGTCGACCTCACTTTGTTGTTTGATCGTGCCTTCTCCAGTCCGCAATTGCACTGCAGCCAGGCGACAGAACTTCGACTAACCGGCTGTCTGCTGTTGTCTACCGGCCATAGTTGACAGGAGAGCCAGAAATCCTGATAAGTGGAAGCATTTTCCTAGGTCCCTGCCACTTCTACTTAACCACTCTACTGTATTATGTTTCTTCTTTTCTTTACTCCTGAAAAATGCCTTGCGGCATCAGGACAGGAAGAGATCCCTGGAACAGGCCCTTCTGTACACTTCGTATAAAGTACTTTTCAGTGTCTCTGATATTTCTGCAGTCCATATTCTGCGTAGTTGACCTGTGGTTCTGTTACTGCTGTATCTATGTAACACTGCTCTCTGTGGTGCCCTGTTGGTTGCCAATCTTGTTACATGACCAAACCATACAATTTGTTGTCCACCTATAAAGTTCAGTATTAGTTCTGTGCAGACTCTCCTCCTGATATCGTTCCCAAGTCGATCTTTATTATTAATTATGTGACGACTTCATCAGCAAACTCAAAAGAAAGCAACATACAACAATTTTTCGTCTACGATCAGAACATTGCAGGCTCAACTACCAATTGCATAAAATAAAGATTGTACACTCCCTAAAGTGTGAATGTCAAACACAAACACCTGAGCACATTCTGCAAACCTGCCCACTCTATATACAACTTAGAAAAGACACCTGGCTTCAAGAGCAAAGTGTGCAGAGCAAGCTATGGGGAACCATCAAGGACCTGCTACTGACATGCAAGTTCATAGAGGCAACCCACCTGATGGTCTGATCTGAGCATACAAAACCGAACGCAAGAAGATTTATGTGGTTACAGTCATCGTTGAGATAGGATTGAGGCCTTCGCTTTAAGTGCATCTGCCTGAGAGGCAGGGAACAAGAACAGCACACACAGAAGTCAGTAAAATGGATGTACACACAAAATTCAGAATCTGGAACGAGCCCAAAGTCCAAATGGATGAACAAAAAAGGATTTGCCGCCAGAATTCACAGCCGGCGAACGCTAAGAAAAAGAGGATAAGTAATTTATTATTATGCTGAGATTTTTTGTAGTCTATTATATTGTGTTAATTTCTTATTTTACAGCTGTCATTCAAGGAGTCCAGACTAAGGATCTTTATGAGAGATATGGACTGAAATTCAGTGACTGATACCAGCAAAACTTGTAGTAGTTCACATCACTTCATGTTGAGATTGTTTCATGCATTTCTGGTTATCCTGCTCCTGTAAACATAAGCCCTAGCATGATTTTTCAGCATACTTGTAAAATAAGCCCTGGATAGGATTGTCAGCCACTGTACATAATTTTTTTTGTCTGTTGAAACACTTGATGGATGTATTGAATTACAGACAAAATAAATTATGTGTTTATGAATAAATAATTTATATATATTGAATAAATAATGGTCTTTTTCACATTCACCGCCTATAAATTTGTGGAAAGTTCTGGTTGTTTGTTCACTTCTAGAAATATAGTCTTGATCCAGAACTGTTTGTGTTTGCCTCCATTTTACAGATCTGGATTATGCTTGCACATCCGTTTGGCTTATTTGTATGCAGACTGTTGGTTCCTTGCCTCTCAGGCAGATAGTCTGACTTCAAAGAAAACCCCTAATTAGTCGACTCTTACGACTTGCTTGTGGATCAGTTCTTTTTCCCCCCACAGTGAAGCCCTTGGAATCCACTAAGGGAAGTAATGCTATTGATATTTATACTTTAGAAAACAATATTTGTCTGTTCATTCTTTCTGTCGATGGTTTTCAGACTAAAGGACCCTTTTCTACACCTTCAGGCATATTTGGCAGACTTATGTCGACCAGTCTGCACTCGGTAGGTGATGTCATCATCATCATCATCATGACAGCTGCCTTTTCTTCCCAGGACTCCACCCGGTACCCATTCAAAGTGTCTTATAGTGGTTTCATTGTAACCACTTCTGACCTGTACATGGCCTTCTTTGGAGTAGAACTTCTAGGGATAAATTGAGTTGAAATAACTGCATATGATAATGCAGCGGTATTTAACCTGCAGGACGCAACCCTTTCACATGGGTCGCCTAAGACCATCATCAGAAAACAAATATTCTTTGAAGTTATGAAGAAAAATAATTGTGGGGGGGGGGGCAAGAGTAGGTTGCTATAACATGATGGAACTGTATTAAAGAGTCGCTGCATTAGGAAGGTTGAAAGCCACTGTGGTAATGCTATTGTTACACATTTTTCTGTCTTCCTTTGCTTCTCTTGCCCTGTACTTTTCAGCACAAGGCTGTTTTTCTCTTCAGTCCCAGATTCTGATGATGCCCAACTTCTTCTGGTGATCCTTCTCTGATTTACACTGACAGACAAGTCACAGACATCAGAAGGAAACAAGTCATCATTTTTCAGCCATGTTATAAGAAGAGGGAAAGTGGAACATGTAACAACTGGAAAGATTTGTGGAAGGAGGGATAGTCTTGTTGCATGACTTGGAGGTGTGTCAGCACATGAACTGATATGCTGCAGGAGACCGCAGACTGTGGAGAGACATGATTGCCCACACCAGTCGGCAAGGCACCTGATGATGATAAGTTCTTACTTTTTAGGAGTTCCATACAACTTTGAGTACTGTGTTGACTCACTAGGCCAGTTTTTCCTTAATACAGTCGAGTCCACTTAGGTCAAACTCGGATAGGTCACATTTTAGTTTGTGTGTGCTGTCTGGATAAGTAGAAGTCCTGATAAGTGGAAGCATTTTCCTTAGGTCCCTGTGACTTCTACTTATCCAGACTCGACTGTCGTCTCTATTTGATGAATTAATTTAGTAATGCACCATTTGAGAATGTATATTATTTATTAAAATGTTTGGAATTAATTGTCTGAACCTAGATATTTTCAAGGTGTGTGACTTATTCTTGAAATCTGATATTATTAAATGTGAAACATGGCTGTTAGAATGTGACTACGATCAGCAGAGAACTGCTAATACAGCACTCAAGACATTCCCATAAGTGTTCAGTCCCCAACTTCAGCTGCAAGTAAAAATAAAGGTCCTTTTCCACACATATAGGGCAAGACCTACATTTTATAGACCAATCAGTACTCTGTGGGTGATATGTTTCACTCTGGTCACCTTTACTTTCCAAGACTTTACCTAGTACCCATTAAAGGCTGGGTCGGCCTTTTCAATTTTTTTAAAGGTTTTGGCTTTGTTAGGGTTTTCTTATTCTTCTTCGTTCACCGGCTGTGAATTCCGGCGGAAGGTCCCGGTTAATCGTCTGCTTGGACTTTTGGCTTTTACCTGGACCTGAGTTTTGCGTGCACAACCGTTTTGCTGTTCCCTGCCTCGCGGGCAGCTGTACTCCGACTTCGAGGGAAGACGTCATGCCTATTTCTAGGATGACTGTGGCCATTATTTTGTGTGGGTCGATATGTGACCCTATTTGTGTGGTGTCCTCTTTCTCCACAGGTGTTGCCCCCGAAGTATTCTATTCGGGACAGTCCTGTGTGAAGCGGTTGGCCCTCAAGGGAAGACAGGGGCATTCCCCTCCATCCAAGAAGCCTTCCATAAATGCAGAGCCGGCACATAACAGTCTGGTTCTGGGCTCACCCAAGGAATCGTCACGTCTTGCACATAACTGCTTTACCTCACAACCGTATTAGGCTTCCCGCTCGACACGGGCTGCGCCCTCCGGAGATCAGCGGGAAGCAGTCCGTGGGTTCTAGCTTTGGGACCACACGACTAGGCACTATCTTTTTTGTCGCACGATTGTTATCTTTAGCGTGCTGTTAGCACGACAGAATGTAGAATCATGCGTCAGGCATGTCTTTATCTGTTTGGTCCTAACACTCGAGCGAGTGGGGCCGTTTGGGTTTGAACTCACGACCTTTGAACCCCCAGGCAAGTGACTAGCTACTGTACCACATCCCTTTCCTTCAACAGCCAGTTCCAGTCTGATTGTATGTCCAACGCCTTTCTTCCCTATTGAGTGTGGGCTATATTCGCAGGTCACTCCCAGCTGTACTATTCTCTTTAGCATGTCAAACTGACAGCTTGTGGCCTTTTACAAGAACGACCGCAACCCGTGCAGATAAAGTATTATGGAACAGTTTGTATTAACTTCAGTTACTTATGTGCGTGCGGCCCTCATAACGTCAGTTTTTCACACCTGCTTTAGACCGTAATGTTCTTTTTTTGCTTTTACTTCATGGGTGGTTATTGCACCAAGCTTTATATCCCATTTGATGCTGTCTCAAAGCAGCTAGGTACATGAAAAGAGCATCTTACAAAGGATGACCTCTGCTTCTCTAGCAACTACCCCAAAAAGTTGCACTAGTGAACTTATCACTCAAAGAAAAACCCGTGATCCTAAGAGCACACAGCAAATGCCGTAACCACTTATCTGATAGCTTGTCTATTACTAAGTTCCCTTAACTGCATACCATTAGGTCACCAGTTGCTTGTGACTTTTCAGATCCCTCCACTTTTGATCATGGTTGCATGCCTGAATCCCGTCCGGTCATTCAAGTTCTGTATCCAGACTTTCTTGGTCCTCCTCTTTCCCTCTACTGAGCCTTAAAGAACTGAGAGGCCGATGAATCTTATTACATGTCCATACCATTGCATTTCCAATCTTTTCACTCAATCAGGTACCGTCTCCACAATGAAGGTTGGCTGCAATGGATCTCCAACAAGCCCTGTCTCTTGCCCGTGATGTACTCTCATACTGCTGTTCGTCCATCTCTTGATGTTATCCTCCCACTTGTAACGCTGTCTGCCTCTTGCTCGCCTACCTCTAGGATGATCTTTACAATACTGATATGTCTTTTAATGTGGCCAAAATATTTCACTTGTCTCTTTTTTATTTCACCTAGCAACTCTTTTCATTCCCAATTTCCTCTGTATTTGATAGCTTTTGTTTCCATGAAATACGACCTAATCTTCTGTATATCCACATCTCCAAAGAATTGATACGATTTTCCAGTTGTTTGTTCATTGTCCATGTCTCTGTTCCATACAGTACATGACATTTGAAAATTCTAATTTTTAATGTATTGCTTATTTCCCTTGATGTCAGTAACTTGTGCATGTTGTTGAAAATGTTTTTGTCCATCCCTATTCTTTTGACTTGTTTCACCTCTGCCGTCACATGTTATTACTAGTCCAAGATAAGAAATGTTTAACTTGTTCCAATTTCACCCCTTTACATGTGCAATTCATTGTTAGCTGATTATTTTCTTTGCTGAATATCATGGTTTATGTCTTTTTCAAATTAAAATCTAATCCAAATTCTGCACTCCTTTTGTTTACTTGCTCCACTAGGTCTTGCAACTCCTGCTCACTCTCTGCTAGCAACACTGTGTCGTCAGCATATCTCAGATTGTTTATTATTCTACCATTGATGTGCAGTCCTGGTAATTCTACAATTTCTTTTAAAATGGTTTCTGTGCGTAAGTTGAAAAGGCTGGGCGACAGCACACATCCTTGTCTTACTCCTCTCTTAATCTCTCTCTGGGGTGAGCAGATGTCAAATCTTACTGTTGCTTCTTGCTCCCAGTATTAGTTTCTAATGTCTGATCTCCTTTCCATCTAGTCCTATGTTTTAAAGAGCTGCAATTAATTGTTCATGTTGCACTCTGTCAAAAGCTTTTTTGTAATCGTGTGAAAACATGCATTAATATTTTTCTGAACTTCTATATATTTTTCAGTCAGCATCTTTAGACAAATTATGGCCTCTCGAGTACCACTGTTTTTATGGAATCCAAATTGCTCTTCAGAAACTTCATTTTATTTTGAATTCTGGCTTGTATTATCTTCAAGAGTAACTTAGTTACGTGACTCATTAGGCTAATAGTTCTGTAATCTTCACAATCAACAGCTTTTGATTTCTTAGGTAGTGTGATAAAAACAGATGTTTTTTATGTCCCTGGGAATGTACCTATAGTTATAAATGTCACTGCATATTTCTGTGATAGTATCAATTCTAAAATCTTTTCACTAAGAGTTTATAGTTGCCAATTTGCTAGATAATTATACGGCGAACATCTTTTTGTGATGTGGTATCTGTATGTGAAGAATTTTTTTATAAGGATCTAATCTGGAATGCTTGTATCTTCTTTTATGTGTTTAGTCCTCGGATAGAAATTTTAGGATGTTCAGCCTTCGTGATTGCTGT